TTTTTAGGCGATAACATTTTTATACAAGCTATTTTAGAAAGTTGTTTTGTGTATTTTTTGCGTTTTAGAAACAGTATAATTAATTGTTTACAAATAAAATATCGGTGTATGCAAATATCGGCGTATGTAATTTAAATATTACGAAAGATTATGTTATAAATATTTTTCAAATTAGTGTTTATTAATAATAAATTAAATATCATACAATATACAGTGACGGGTAAAATTCTAGGCTGCCAGGGAAAAAGAGTATAAGTCAAAAATCTTTCATTTAAAGGAATAGCATTTTATTATTTGAAAGATGTTTCTAAAAAAAATTAAACCAAATATCTTCTAAAAAAAACTTAATAGCATATTACCTAAATGTAAGTTTGAAGCAAATTAATATCTAAGCTACTTTAGAAAAAAAATAACGACGTATATAGGTATTATATTAACAACTAAACTAAATTAACATATATTATTTGGACCTATATCAGGTAAATAGAAAAACATTACAGTAATTTAAAAACTTAAATAAAAAACACATATGAAGTATTTTCGTCACAATTTTCCGAATCATCTCCATCAGGAAAATATCAGGCATGTCATTTGTCTTGAGATTTTTATAAAAATCATGAAATGTAGGAGAAATAAGTGGTAAGAGATCCAATATATCTTTTGTCTTTTCTTTTGAAATGGGTAAAGTAGAGGTATAACATTTGGTTGGATTTAGCTGAGCATTTGGATGTCCCCTCCGGATAAGACTTAAACACTTGAAAGGAACATTGAGTCTAAAATCGAAACCATCTGACTGAGTGCCAATTAAATAAATTGCCTTCATTGTCTTTTTTTCTAAGTTGGAGGTCCAATTTAAGAAGATCGGCAAAATTTAAGAAATCTAAATGGGTCAATTCTACCACGCTAAATTTTTTCTTTTTTCGCACAGAACGAACAAGTTTTTACCAATCATATGGATGAGAAATAGGAATTTGTAATTTCTTTTTTTTTGCTTCTCAACGAGGCCGAAATCGACATCACATTCCATGTGAGTGTGTCCACTAATGAGGAACTTATGATCTATATAAGTTAGATGCTGATTAGTTTGCATAGCAACCAGAAACATTGCAGCAACATGAGAATTTTTATTTTGTCCTCCACAAGTGTCAAAATATATTACCTTGCTTACTTCAGAGCCAGAACTTGGGCCATTGAAAATAACACTGAAACCCTGAGAACAAACAGAGAAGTCATAGCAGAGACATGGATATCGTATTGCAGGGACCTATATAAAGATAATCGACGCCAAGAGCTTGTTAGCCAAATCTCTGACGAGGTGGAAGAAGAACCTGATATACTCGAAAATGAAGTAAGACAGGCTATCAACAAGCTCAAATATAACAAAGCACCAGGTCCAGATATGATAACAGCAGAAATGCATAAAACCACAGAAGAAACCGGCGTAAAATTACTTCATCTACTCTGTAACCAAATATGGCATTCCAAACAATGGCCTGAAGACTGGACAAAATCTACAATAACGACCATACATAAAAAAGGCAGCTTCCATAAATGCGACAATTATAGAACTATCTCTCGTATATCCCACACCAGCAAGATAATGCTACATATAATCAATGAGAGACTGAAAACATTCCTCCAAAGAGAAATTCCACAAGAGCAAACTGGATTTACCAAAGGTAGAGGCACTCGAGAACACCTGCTGAATATAAGACAGATAATCGAGAAATCTAGGGAATTCAACATCCCACAAACATCTGTTTTATAGATTACCGTAAAGCGTTCGACAGGGTCAAGTGGAGATACTTATGGCGAATACTAAAAGAAGTAGGCGTACCACAACATCTAATTACGCTTATAACTGAACTATATGAACACACTACTGGATCAGTTAAAGTACTTGACACACTTTCGAACGAGTTTCATCCAGAACGGGGTGTCAGACGAGGATGTACACTATCTCCACAATTATTCAACATATATGGGGAGTATATTATGCGAAGAGCACTTGAAGGATGGGAAAAGGGCATCTCAATAAAGGGTCATAAACTAAACAACCTACGTTTCGCAGATGACACAGCCCTTCTTGCAAATAGTCAAGCAGATCTGATGGAACTTATACGAGTGATCGAAAACAAAAGTCAAATATTTGGTCTGCAATTAAACATATTAAAGACAAAGATCATGATAGTGGATAGACTACACAACAATCATCCACACATAACCACAATTGACCGGTTCGAGGTTGTGAGCTCATACTTATATCTGGGATCATTAATCACAAACACAGGGTCATTACAAGAAGAGATTAAATGTAGATATGATCTAGCAAAAGTTGCCACAGCAAAAATGACCAAAATATGGAAGGACTGTCAAATTTCAAGAGCGACAAAGATGAGGTTGATCAACTGTGTGAATCTATGTGAATCTTGGACTCTGAGACAATCGGAGAGAAGAAAGATAGACGCCACTGAAATGTTCTGTTGGAGACGAATGTTACGAATTCCTTGGACCGACCGTAGAACAAATAATTCAATTTTAAGAGAGCTAAAAGTTAGCCAACGACTCTCTAGTAAAGTCCATCTCCAACAATTAAAATATTTTGGGCATGTTATGAGAGCAAACACAGAAAACATGGAAAGACTCATAATACAAGGAAAGGTAGAAGGCCGAAGATCACGAGGAAGATCCCCAACAAGATGGATAGATCAAATTACAGGAATATGCCAAAGACCTATGCATGAATTAAAAGAAATGACCAGAGACAGAGATCTCTGGAGACGGACAATATACGACATCACGTCGACCACTACACTCCCCCTGGGGGGTCAGGATTGAAGAGACTTGTGAAGAAAGATAAATCAGTTCTTTGTAAATGCTTCTTATTTATTTTCCTCCCCTACCACCTTTAGCTTCATGCCACATGTAACATGTGACGTTACCTGTACTGGTATCAGGCATGGTTAAATTGTAGGTCCATAGCTGCCGTTTGTAAAATGCAACAGATGTATTGAGCATTGGCGCAGGGAGTATCGTCGGAGCGGGATAAGTATTTATAAAATTATACTCAACCGCTGGACGTTTTAAAGGGGCATTGTCTTGAAAAAGACAAATGCCGAAGGGTTATTTATTAGTAGGGAATAAAACAACCATTCTAAGTAAAAAAAAAACTCAGCTTCAGAGTCTTTTTAAACTTTTTGCAGAGTCCTCCAACGAAGAGCCCTGCGGCTACTCCTTAAGAGTAAAACCAGAACTGAATGTAAATCGAAAATGTCCCATGCCCCCAAGCATTGTCAGTATCCTGGTGGTGGTCAGCTAATTCACGTTCTATATTGTTTTTTCTTCAAGTGTAGAAATCTTTAATTCCATATCTAATAAATCACATTTGTGACAAGTATCGGCCTTAGTATCTTTAACATTTAGATTAATTTTCTGAAATTCGCATTCGTAAATCTGCCTTGACACTGGTTTCTCTTCCGATTTATTTTGTTCACAATAGAGTTTGTACATAATTCGTAGATTTAGGTGAGGTGGAAGATATCGCCTGTTACTTGCTCTTCGTGTATAGTGGGATTTGTTAAACTGAAAAGACAAAAATTTTTCTATTTTAACTTTGATAATATACAAGGCAAATATCGAGCACAGAGCTCATTTATTCGAGCATTCAATCTTATATTAATTTTTTTTCTATTTTGTCTGTACTATTTTTGTTAATAGAAACCTTACGACCTCTTTTATCGTCATATGTTATCCCATACACTGTTGAATATTTATTGCCGAAGTAACTAACTAACTAACGTAGTGCTGAAGTAATAAACATTTGAGTCTCACCCAGAGTTTTCGTGAAACAACCGCTGGATACACGGATTCGTTCTTTATTTACAACAAAATGAAAACGATGAGTTTTTAAACGAAACTTATCTTTTTGTGGGTATGTGCATGATACTATGAATAACAAGATAGGATCTTCCCGTAGCTCAAAATCGGTCGGGTTCGCGCATGCCGTCATTGGAGACTAGAATTTGAATTCTTGTTAAAGTTAAATGAGATTTGTATGCATTCTGTGATGAAATTACTAGACGAAAATAAGTTAAGAGGTTCAATAATTACAATAATCGTACACATAAGGATATCTCCAAACTATTTATTAAAGATTATTTATTGATATATACAAAAACTGACATTTCGAACGTGCAAGTCTCCAATGACGTCACAAAAACATGCGCAATATCTTATCTTATAGTCATAGTATCATGGGTATGTGGATCTTTTTTAGATGATGCAGGTTCAGTAGTGTCTACTAATCCAGCAATAAATCTTACTCTTTTATTTTTATCCGCAAGAGACCAGTATTCATTAAATATAATATGTTCCCTTACCGAACTTCCTAGTTCATTATCAAGTCTTATTTCTAGTTTATCTTTACATTTCATTATATAGTTATTCAATGGAGTTGACATTCTTTCTTTAACCACTTTGTCTTTATCAGTGACATAACTTTCTCCCATTTTCTTTTCAGTTTTCGTTCTGCTCTTTTCTTTCTTGTAAATGTTCCTTTTTGTGAAGTACTTTTACTCTTCTGAATATCCTTCTAGTGTTGCTTTAGCTGCATCATACAATTTATTTTTCCGCCTTCTCTCTTTCTTTGGATTCGTAGATACTTTAAATACATCTGGGTTGTCTTCACTGTCATCACTTCATTCTGCAACATAATCTTTTTCAAGGTCACTATCATCAATAGGTCAGATAATCTAAGTAAATCTATTTCACTAGTACAAGTATTATTAATAGAGTCCTTTGAAGTAGATATGTCCCTCCGCTAATAACCCGTAGTGGTTGATGCGGATATAATTGTTTAAATAAAAAAAAATGCATACACTGACACCACACGATTTTCTCTGTCTGTACGATATATTGTATATCCATTTATATTAACAGAGTTGTTTTTAATTTTCCCTAACAGGAATTTTTTATATTATCATGTTTAACTTTGTTTTCAGGGTTTCACCTACCCATCGCGCTTCAAAATCCCGCAGTGGTAGTGTTAATTCCGTAACAGGAGGCAGTGGAGGTAGAAGCCACCGGTCTTTTCCTCTCACCCAGCTGCCTCCGCGTATGGATACTATTCCACCCCCGCAACGGTTTCAAAATGATAATAGTGCCGCTCCCATCATCATCAACGGGTTGCCTCTAGATCCCGTACATACTGCCACGCAAACAACATTGGTAAGTATTACTAAGGTACTAATATAAATTTGTTATTTATTGTATATACTGATGGAATCTTACATGAGGAGAATGTATATTTTCAAACGAAAGTTATAAAGTTATTTTACGAGATTTGTAATTATAACAAAATATAAATAAACATGACATGGTTACTTGTAATGTAATTTAAAGTCGAATAACTTTAGCAATAAATTTAAGTACTTCTGTGAGAGACTGTAATAAAATTATCAAATTACCATCCGAGTTTATGTATATATTTTGTTTATTGTGAATAAGCTGTGATGTTTTAACTTTTAACCACCAAAATAGTATGTTTTTCCGACAAAAACCATGTAAAAACCCGAACGTGTACGTATGATTCTGAGTAAAAATATATTTTTGATGTGTTATTCGCGAATATATTCATGTCAACCGGAAATATAAATGTCAAGCAAATTCTAAATGTTGCAAAAGATACTTCGTCATATAAAATATAACAGGCGGTCCTGGTCCTAGGGAAGGGGTCACCAAATAGTGGACCGCGGTCCACATCCGGACAGTGAGCTTCTTTTTGCGGACCGCCATTAAATTCAAAATCTTCACAGTAAAATACAAACCAAAATCAATGAGAGCTGGGATTCTACCGCAGAAATTAAAAGCCGAATGGAACAAGCCCGAGCTGCCTTTGTAAAAATGAGAAACGTACTTTGCAGTTTTGATCTTAGCATTTACCTTAAAGTTCGAATGACATCTTGCTACATCTTTCCTGTCCTGCTGCATGGAGTAGAAGCGTGGACTTTAACTGAGGCAATCGTTAAACGCTTGACAGCCTTTGAGGTGTGGGTATACAGACGACTACTGAAGATATGCTGGGTCGACAGATTTAGAAATAAGGAGGTCCTTAGGCGACTGAACCAAACAACACAACTGGTCAATATAATAAAGAAACGCAAGCTGTAATACTTCTGTCACATTATGAGACACCCTGAAAAATATAATCTTTTATATCTGATCATTTAGGGAAAGATCCAAGGTAACCGTGGTCCTGGTAGAAGAAGAACATCATGGCTGAAAAATCTAAGGCAATGTTATGGAAAATCAACTACATCGTTATTTAGAGCTGCTGTCAATAAAGTCACGATAGCGAATATGGTAACCAACATGATATCCAACGATCAATAACCGTCATGGAACTAGAAGAAGAAAATACAAACCGTCATGAAGATAGTGAACTTTATACGTGCAAATCATCTTTAAGGCGTCTTCAATTGAAATCATTCCTACAAGACACAAATGCTCAGTTTGACGATTTGCTTTTTCACTACAACGTGAGATGGATGAGCAAAGGTTTAGTGCTTGAAATATTCTTTGTAATACTTGAAAACATAAAAGAATTTCTGTCCACTAGTGATCCACTAATGAAGCTGCAAATGACCCTTTGGGCTTCCTCTTGGACACAGAAAACATTGTAACTATTACATTTTTGATGGATATCTTCAGACATCTGAACTTCTTGAATTTAAAACTACAATACAAGGGAAAACTTGTTTATGCACTTCTGTCGGATGTTAGAAGTTTTTCTAAAAAGATTAAACTTTTTTCTGGGGATATTAAGGCAAAACTTTTGCATTTTCCTTTCCTTAAATCCGTTTGTGATAGTAATAAAGATATTGATGTTACCCAGTTCTTACGTTTTATTAGTGAACTTGATTTGGAAATTAAAAAACGATTTGATGATTTCCACAAAATTGAAAATGTTATGCAACTGTTAAAGAGACAGACGTTATAGACGTTTTTAAGAGTGAATATCAGGAAGATTTCGTTAAAATGTACAGAACTGCAGTTGTAATCAAACGCAATTTAAGGTAAGCCGTTACTAACATTTAAATGTTTAAACAGATTTAGATTTGTTCCATAAAATTGTTGAATACTATAGTTGCAGAAAACAACCAGACACAGTAGCATTAAATAATTAAATAAAGTTCTAAGATAGAACTTAATAAAAAAAGTAAGAACTAAAAAACGATACCAAATGGGAGAAAAACTACTTAAAATAATCTGCTATGCAGACGACGCAACACTACTCTCTCAAAGTGAAGATGATTTACAACGTATGCTGCACGAATTCAATATAATCGCCAGACAATTTAATATGTTAATTTCTCCAAAAAAAGACAAAATGCATGGTTACAACAGCAAATTTACGAAAATGTAAATTGGAGCTGGAAGGTCAGATAATAGATGGATATGATGGAGTTTAATAGGCATCACATTATCTAGCTACGAAAAGCTCTAAACCAAAGTGGAAGATCAAGTGAATAGAGCAAACAAAGCCGCAGGCTGCCTAAATGAAACAATATGGAGAAATAAAAATATCGGGAAAGAAACGAAAGGCAGAACTTACAAAACAGTCATCAGACCAATAATGACATACGCGACAGAAACAAGACCTGATACAGAGAGGACAAAAAGTATGTTAGAAACAGCAGAGATGAAAACACTTAGAAAAATTGATGGTAAGACACTATGGAACAGAGCTAGAAGTAGATATACGCGTCTATGCAATGTGGAGAACATCAAAAACTGGGTAAGAAATAGAAGAGTAGAATGGAACGATCATCTAAGCTGAATAACCACAAATAGAGTAGTAAAGATGGAAAGAGACGTTTCCCGAATAGGAAGACGATCAGTAGGAAAACCACGAAAACGATGGAATGACAACTTACTGGAGGCACATTGAAAAACAGACAGAGTCATGTCTATATAAAAGAAGAAGAAAAACTGCCAAAAAAGACAAAATGAATGGTTGACATCAAATTTACTAACATGTAAATTGGAGATGAAGAAACAGATAATAGAATAAGTGATGAAGTAAGACTTTAAATATCTGGGCATGCCTAAGTGAAACAATATGGAGGAATAAAAATATCGGGAAAAAATTTAAAGGCAAAATTTACAAAACAATCATTAGACCAATAATGACATGCACAGCATAAACAGGACCCGACACAGAGAGAACAAAAAGAATGCTAGAAACAGCAGTTGACATGAGCGCTGGCAGCGGGATGCAAGAGGATGTGCAATTACACCCCCTATCCGAAAAGAACAGACATAGCTATACATAATTTTTTATTAGTTATTAGTATGTGCAAATGCAAATGCACCCTTCTGAAAAGCAGATGTACCTCCCTGAATATAATACTGGCGGCGCCCATGGCAGTGGGCTCAAAAATTAAAGGGAATGGTTTAGTATGAGTTCAACTTAATTATTTTGAACAGCTGTAAGAACATGTAGAATTTCCATAATGATTTCCAACCTCCGATAGGAGGAACTTCAAGAAGACGAAAAAAGAGCAGAGATGAAAACCCTTAGAAAAATTAATGTTAAGATACTATAGAACAAAGCTAGAAGTACAGATATATTACGAATATGCAAAGAGATTTTTTTAATAAATAGAAGCATTGAAAAATAGACATAGAGATTTATATCTATACAGACCTTGCTGTCCAATTTTGGATATAGGCCTCTTCTTCCTTATTCCACGTCTCTATTAATCTCTATTTATTTATGCTATTAATTTGTATGTTTCCCAGGTTATGCTTTAAGTACTTCATGTCTCTATTTTTTTCAATTGTTTTCTTTATCTTTTCTTCCTGTACTCTCCGTGTATACTCCTTGATATTTTTATTCATAGTTTTGTTTATTTCTTTGTATTCCATTTTATTTCTGTCCCCTTGTTCTAGTAATGTTCTTCTGATGTTCATAAGAATCTTTGTTTCCTGGGATATGAAACTTTCTTTTTTTGTTGTTGTCTGTGCTATTTCTTTACCCGCTTTCATTAGACTATCAGTAAATATCATGTTTATTTCATCGATATATTTGTGTTCTATGTCTTCCTTGGTCCTTTATTATCCTTGCAATATTATGTTCTTTATTCTCTCTTCGTACGTCTGTTTTTCTTGTTTTAGTTTTTCCATGTCTAATTTCTGATTATTTTCCATTTTCTTGTTTCAAATCTACTGTCAATGTTTAGCTTGGCTTGGACTAGTCTATGGTCGTTACCAATTGAGAAGCGATTTAGGGCTGTTACGTCTTTAACCATGGATTTATCCATAAAGAGATTTATTATATTAAATTTAAAATGAAAATTATCGGGTATCAAATTCCCTTTTAATAATAAATAGAGTTTTTTATATACATACAACTTTTTAAATTCTTATGTTTAATTATATTCGAAGTTAATTGGGCGTAGTATACTCTGAATTAAAGTGTAAACATCAAAACCGATCTGATTGAAAATCGTCATGAGCTGGAACCGCAGATTACACCGCTAAATTACCACCTACAGCGTAAACATTGCTTTAGAACGGGAGTCTAAAAGGGACATTTAAATTTTGCCAACTCAGCTGTCTGTTTTATTTAATTTGGACATAAATTAAATAACTTCAGTTCTATTTAGTTTAATGCTAATTGAAATCATTTAAATATAAAACGTTACATGTTGATTAAAATTGTTTTCAATATATTGTCGATTGCTTTGAAGCACAGCTATTTAACCATTTCATTGTTATATTGTTTGTCTATTGTTTTTGACAGTTACATTTTATCTATCTGTGATAAAAGTTCAATAAATGATTTGTTTATGAACAAAGTTTTCTTTTACTTCTTGATCTTTTTTTGTTGTTTCTTGTAATAATCTTTTTAGTGATTCGTTTTTTTTTAAGTTTTAACTATAGATGTCGCTTTAACAACCGTATAAACAATTTTGAATGTTTGTATGTAAGATGTTTTAAAAGTTGTCATTGTTCCACTCACATAAGTCATGCTACAAACCCCACAAGGCAGTTTGTCTTCGGTTTCGCTAAAGATAGACTTGAAGTTATGTGTGGTTTTGAAAGAGATGTTTAAGTTACTGACCTTATTACATAGTACTTTCGATATTTTTTCTGAAATTGGTCCTGAGTAGGATAAGGATTTATAAATGTCTCCATGTCGAAGCTAACTAAATGCCTTCATCTGTTTTATTGACACAGTTTGTTCTTTTTTCAATCTCTATGGCTTCTACATTACTTCTTATACACTCTAGTGTCAAATCACTCAAATCTCAGTTTGGATTCCGAAATGGACTCGGAACAAGAGAGGCGTTGTTTGCACTAAATGTTATGTCTCAAAGATGTCTTGATATAAATCAAGATGTATTCATGTGTTTCACCGATTACAACAAGGCCTTTGATAAAGTGCGGCATGATCACCTAATCAGACTCCTGACAGAAAAGAATTTAGATAAACGAGACATCCGACTAATAACAAATATGTACTACAATCAGAAAGCAGAAGTGAGAGTAGAGAATAATACCACTAAAGAAATTGAAATAAAGCGAGGTGTGAGACAAGGGTGTATACTGTCACCAACCCTGTTTAATCTCTATTCCGAAGACGTAATTAATAGAACACTCTCTGGGCAATCCGTAGGTATTAAAATAAATGGTGTTAGATTAAACAATCTGAGATTTGCCGACGACACCGTTCTGATCGCAGAAACACTTAAAGAGCTACAGACATTGGTGAATAAGATAGCAGACTGCAGCGAAGAATATGGACTATCTTTAAACATAAAGAAAACTAAATTTATGGTAATATCGAAATCAACACAAAATGTCCAAAATTTATATTTACACAATGAAATTATCGATCGAGTAAATACAAATATTTAGGCACTTTTATAAATAAAGACAATGATAGCTCAGCAGAAATCAAAATAAGAATAGAAAAAGCCAGATCCATATTCACTAAAATGAAGAGAGTGTTCTGTGGAAGAGATTTGAGCCTTGAAATGAAACTTCGCCTGATGAGATGTTACGTACTTTCTGTGTTGTTCTACGGAATGGAGTCATGTACGTTGAAAGAGATTGATACCAAAAAATTAGAGGCATTTGAACTGTGGATGTATCGCAGAATCCTGAGAATATCATGGAGCGAGAGAGTCACAAATGTCGAGGTCTTGAGAAGAATGAATAAAGAAGAGAAAGTCATATTTACGATAAAAAAAAAACGAAAACTGCAATACTTGGACACATTACAAGAGGCGAAAGATATGAACTGCTTCGAATAATTATGCAAGGGAAAATAGCAGGAAAAAGGCCCATAGGAAGAAGACGAAACTCTTGGCTAAAGAATCTACGGGAATGGTAAAGCTGTAACAACAATGAATTGTTTCGGTCAGCAGTTTCGAAAATACATATAGCCCTGATGATCGCCAACCTTCGGAACGAAGATGGCACTTGAAGAAGATGGCTTCTCGGGTAATTCTCGGATAAATTTTGTGACCTTTATGAAGATGATGTTGGCATAGAGCTAAAATTAAGATGAAATTGAGAAAGGAAATGGAATGTTCATATATACTATTTTAAATTATATGGTTTGTTTGGCCTACATACAATCGGTGTCAGTCTGCCCAAGAAATGTCATAAACTCCATGTTTATTTGGAATACTTTCTGTGATTGATCAGACAAGAGATGAAAGATGAAAGTAGAATCCAAAATAGGATTTATGAACATTTCATAAAACTTTTTATGCAAAGGAACTTTTACGGAGATTTTCCAGTCAGTGGTTCATTTGAGGGTTGGTCATATGAGATAACATACGTACCTAGTGTACCACTTGGAAACCAGTTTTGCTCATGCTTCTCCCATTTCAAATAGAATTGCATCTACACAAGGAGATTTATGTTGTGTTAGTTTAATTATAGCAGCTTCAATTTCTATCATAAGAAGAAATAAATATGAATCTTTGAAAAAGTTATAAGAGAAAATTAGTTTTTGTTAGCTGTTAGACTTAGACAGCACATTTCAGTATATGTAACATTTTGTTTCCGGGAAGACAACATCTTATTCTTGATGTGTCTATCCGTTAGGAATGTTAGCGATCATCATGACAATCTTTATCTTATCTGCAGCAGCGCGGAAAAGCTGCTTTTGATATAACCCAATCGTTTCTCTTTTTACATATCTGACATTCGTATACCTAACATTGCTTCTTCTGTTGTGGCTAGTTTGTTTATATTTGTCTTAATTGGTTTTTTGGAAAACTAAGTTTTCCAAATCCTGCCCATACCAGTCTTGCTCTTCTTGTGATTTCCACACCTAGGTTATCAGTGTCAAGTTTCATATTTTTGTATTTTTATTAATTCTAATTTATTGTTTTTATTTCCCTTATTTTAATTCACTAAAACACAGTAATTTATATCAATCTATTAAACCACTATACGACAATTTATTTTCGACTAATATAATTACATAATTTATTTATAAAACGAGCGTTACATTTAAACTCAGCGCGCTATCATCTTCTCACTGGTGTTTTCTGCAAAAAGGTCTCTATTTATATAACATGCCGTTATTTCCAGAGTTCCGGCGATTCCCTCTGACTAGACTAGAAGGTCGGGTCTTCATTCGAGCTCCTTTCGGAGCTCCTTTCGTACGGTGCGTTCATCACAGAATTTCTCGAGAAACTCATATGCTTTCTCAAGATTAATGAATATCGTGTGAGGGTTTGTTTCTTTATTTCTGTCCTGTATTTTGTTATCAGCTTCCTGGTATACCCATTTGTATATATATATATATATATATATATATATATATATATTTATATATATATATATATATATATATATATAAACATTCTAATAGTCCCCCTTAACAGCGCCACAGCGGCATAGTATACAACGATCTTCAACTAAATTTGGGCCTACGGTATGCAACAAAGGTATCAGGTTAATGCTTCATCAAATATTATATTTACAGTAGTAACACAGACACCTATTTTATTAGGAGAAAAGAAAAATATTAATCACAAACAAATAAAATGTAGATAAGAGACTTTAATAAGTGAAGATAGGTCGATAGTAATTAAAGTAAACTGTATACCCAAGCCTAATCAGCCATTCAGAGCGAAGCTGGGAATAATATTCCACTATGCACCAACAAGTTACCCATATAAATTACCATCATGCTTGTACTCATTGCATCGAGTAAGGACGATAAATATACGACGAAGGTTGCATTTTGATTTAATTTTCCCAAATATTTCCCGATAATCGAATATTATTCCCAGCACCGCTCTGAATGGCTTGATTAAGCTTGGGTATACAGTTTACTTTAATTGCTATCGACCTATCCTCTTCTTTCCTCACTAGAGGTCTCTAGTTGCATACTCTGGCAGTTATTTTCATGTAATTGGCAGAGTAATCGGTTCGTTTTGATTTGGTTGGTGTAAGTCTTCTTACAAACTCCTTCTGATGACGAGTAGACCCAGAAACACGTGTTAGGTAGTGGTTAGAGACTAAAATTAAATGGAAACTTTAAGTCTCATATAAGAATAATTTCATCGTAATGAAAACTGTTAGAAAATAAATTTTAAAATAACAAATATTACAAGAATTAAAGTTTTTTGTCAAATTATTTTAATATTGACATAACTTTTTATGTCTTTATAAATATTCCTTCTTGACTTAATTTAAATTTAAATACATATATTTTTTTAATTAGTTTAAAAATATTTTAGTTCTAATAATATATATTTAATATATATAATTAATTTATTTTTTCTGAAAATAAGTATTAACAAACATTTTTTTAACAGCCAAAAACGAAACATCAACGTCCATTTGGTTGGGAGAGCAACGATTTTACATTAAATCCGCCGCCTCCTCCTCCTGGCTACCGTTTTGGAAGCTTGCCATACAACCATTGCGTCTACCCTATTACCTCACCTACTAGGATGCCTCCTAGAACTGTGCCTACAGCTGTAGAAAGACATAGAGAAGTTAAGAGGTAAATATTTTATCGAAATTTACTAACTACTAGCACAATTTTAAACCAATCTTGAAATTTCTAAGTATAAAGATAGAGAATCAACATTTTTTCTTCTTAAAGTCATGTCGCTCGGAATATTAAATGTACAATACTTCTAAAGAAATGATCTGAAGTTATTGTTAGATAGCTTGGAATGCGGTATATTAGAGGCCATCAGAACTTGTCATAAATCTTTATTAAATACATCCAGTATATTTAATTGTTTCTGCTTCGTTGCAAAATATTGTAGCAACGATTTTTTAGTCCCTGTTGTGAGTCTGCTCCCGTTGGAAAAATGTTCCTTAAAACAAATCTTAAGAGTGCCGGGCGAAATTTTTTGGGCAGAAATGTTTTAAACAATTTCTAAAAACCACTTGTTTTGCTACGGAAAATATTTTTTTTTGTATTTGCATCTTTTATAAAAAAAAGCTTTTTTTGTCATTTTTCTCTTAAGTTGACAGTTTTCGAGTTATAAGCGATTTAAAATCTCGAAAATGTGAAAATGCGCATTTTCGGGGCTTGGTAGCACCAACAGATCTTAAGCTCCAGCTTAGCCCAGCTCCACTTGATAGGGCCGCCTTAACTCTCACTTGCGTTGCTCCATAATTTTCGATTCTTTTATCGAACTTTAATTTAAACTAAATTTAAGATTCACGTGGCAACCATGTAACTTGTCAATTATTGAGTGACAAAAAGAGTCTTAAGATTTTTTTTATGTCCATGTGCTAATTTAAATAAGTAATATTTTTTAAAGCTCTGTCATATGTTAAAAACAAAAAATCATTAAATATACATTACAGTAAATGACCATTTACTTTTCTTGTACCTTTTTCTGGAAAAGGTCACTGCTTATCTCAATCAACCAATTTGATAATCTACACTATATGGGTTTTTCTATATTATATAGCTGATTATCGTAGTTGTTGACCTTTTCTTGCAAAAATGTAACAAACATTAAACACTAGCAAAGCTGTAATTTGAGACAAAAAAGTGGCCTCTGATGGAGGACATATCCGGAAATACGAATGCGCCAAATTTAAATTTTCCGACACTTATCAACAGTAGCTATATAATATTTTTCAGAATGTGTCTTAGACGAGAAAGTTTTAATAAATTATTAACGATAATAGTCTAAAATGCGACACAACTGTTAAGAAACTTCAATATAAGTAAGATTTCATGTGACATTTGGGACAAACAATAACATAACCCAACTAAATTTGATGTGAAACAAGGAGAGAGACTCTCTTTCCTTGTTTAATGTGCCCTATAAAGATCGCACTTCCTGTCTAACAATATGTTTGTCCCCACTACCTTTACATTCTTTTTTTTTGTCTTTTTGCTCGATGATCTATAGTTCACAATACAACTGTCAATTTTTTGAGGTTAGATTGCTCATCTTAAACTCAGACAGCAATTTAAGCTGGGAATAACGGGGACTTGTTGCCGAATCTCTTCTACCTGTATCTTTGGCATTAGTTCGGAACCTTGATTCATGATTTACTTTGAAATGGCTGTTTGTATTCCTGTTTGATGTTCTCGTCTACTTCCATATAACTCCTCGTAAAACTTTTCGACGACCTGTATTAACTCGTCTCTACGTGGTATTATTTCTACTTGATATGTTTCCTACACCAGATTTGTATTTCCCCATCCAATAAAACCATTAAACGGTTTATATGTATTATATTCTTATTTGGTTTTTATTGTTTAAAAAAACGTTTTATGACTTTATGATTTTGGGGTAAAAAACGAAATAGTTATGTATTTATGAGTATTTACTCGTGATTACAAAATATTTTGGTGGATCAAAATCCATAACAAGCTTTGAGCGGCTTGTGATTGTGTTAAATACACGTTATAGGATTTATTCACGACTAATGTATCGAGTATTAAAAAATAAATTCAATAACAGTAGTTTGTTTTTATCTTATAGTAATAAAAATAGGTAAAGCTTGTTTTTGTTAATTTTTAGACACGGCAGTGAAGACAATCTCTCTAGTGATTTGGATGAAACCCCAGCCTTACGACCACTTAGCGAGTTAGCAGACGATGAACATTTTTCCGATGATTCTTTAGAAGGAATATTACCTCCTCCACCACCACCTGCTTGTAATAAAAGAGCCAGTATTGCTTGGGAAGTACCCTTAGATGATGAAGCTCTGCTTACCCCAGGTACGTTACTTAAAGCACCGTACATAGTGACTATTAAAAAGTATTAAAAGAATTATTCAAAAGCCATTTAATTGAATCTTTATAATACTTAAACCTTATTGTACCAACTTTATAAAAATGTCTAAAGTATCTACAAAAACTTAACATTGCGAATAAGTGTTCTCGGAGTATTATATAAAGAGAATTCGTCTTTTTATTACCAATAAAAAAATTATTAAGGGATTAATACATTAATTATGAATTAACGATGCTTGAAAACTTCTTAAAGATTAAATCTGTCCTACTGTGGCTAAGTTAATTGTCCAAGGAATTTTTTGTAACGAAAACATTGTAAGATTAAACTGTTTATGGTCGACTTTACTACCTTTGCTCCTTTCATAAAAAAGGATCAGCTTACTTTACGCTTTATGCTTTGTACGTGGCTCCTAAAACATCAGAAATTACGGTGTCCTACATCATCACAAAAATTGTTATTTTTAACAGTCACAAGAACTATTTGTGTTTTACCATGCCTTTAGGCCAGTAAATGAACGTGAAATACTGTCATTTTCTGTGTCACCGAATTGCATAAAATGGATATAGGTTCTACTTACCCTCCACTTCACTTTTGGACTTGTGCCGTTAGTTGTTTTTATTTTTTAGTGGTAAAAACTACGCCTAATATAAAAAAACCGTATAATTGGTAAATTAAAGGATGTAATTGATTCAAACCATCTTTTAATGAACTGAGTGAATGTCAATTAACATTAAACAATATTATTTAAGATTTTATCACAGTTTAGCTCCTAAATCTGACTCCGTAGATTGATTATAATTAAAACAATGTCATTGAATACCTTGTTTCCATTAATTTGCATGTAAATTTGGGTTTAGGTTATGCTCACCTTCACTTCAAAATTGGACTTGTGCCGTTGGTTGCTTTTTATTTTTTAGTGGTGAAAACGACCCCTATTAAAGAATTAAAAATATAATTGAAAAAAAAAGTATTAGAAAAAAAAATATAATTGTAAATTCAAGAAATTTGGAATTATTTAATTATAAAGTACCGTTAAATTTAGATTTCTTTTTTTTAATTTTTTACCACATGGTTGCCAACCTTCTTAGAGGAGATGCCACGTGAAGAAGAGAAGTCTGTTTAGAACCTGCTTCTCTTAAAGGCGCTCTAATTGGTAATTTAATCTATTTCTAACAGGTTTTGGTATTATTGGTAATTTTTGTTTTAGTTTTGCTATTATTAGTGTATGGTTACTATTGGTATCTGCCCCTCTTTAATTCCTGCAATCGATTATTACCTTATGACATGATATATCTGATGTTTTATTTTTCCATGGGAAGAAATCCATGTTACCTTATGTATGTCTTTGTGATCAAAGATTGCGTTAGCTATCTTCATTTTGTTTTCTGTAGCAAATTCTATTAAATTTTTTCCGTTTTCATTTGATTCCGTATGTAAACGTCATGCCCCCATTATTCTTCTATATATTTTCTCTTTTCCAACTTTCGCATTTATGTCACTAACGAATATCTTTCTATCGTATTTCTGTATATTACCTATTTGTTCAAAATTGCATCACATATAGTTGCCACCTCCAGAGGAGCATGTGATAAAAAGTTTACCACTACTATAAAAAGGGAGCTTAAACATCTAAAAGCTGCCTGTCCATCAGATACAGAGTACTCCGCACCGTTCACTCCAGAAGAAGTCTCAAACGCCATCAAAGACATTAAATCTAACAAAGCTTCTGGTACAGACGGTATACCTCCCGAATTCCTGATCCATTGTGGGAAATCTGCAAAAACCTGGTTGTCTAAATTCTATACAGATATACTCAAAACAGTTAACCTACCAAACCTCTTTAAACAAACAAAAATCATAGCCATCCTGAAACCTGGAAAACCAACAGACAACCCAGCGAGTTACCGCCCCATTGCTTTACTCAGTGCAGCTTACAAGCTCCTCGAAAGACTGGTCCTGAACAGAATCTGCCCAAAGCTACTTCAAAAAATACCAATTGAACAAGCAGGATTCAGGACTCAATGAAGCACCACTGACCAAGTGCTCTCTATAACTACCTACATAGAGGCAGGTTACCAAAGAAAACTGAAGACGTCTGTGGCATTCATCGATTTATCGGCTGCCTATGACACGGTTTGGAAAGATGGCCTCATCTATAAACTCCTTAAAATAATCCCCTGCAAAGCAACCGCCCGACTCATAAATACTATGCTGAGCAGTAGAAACATCCGTGTAACCATGGGAACTACAGTGAGCAAACAGAGAACGCTTAATAATGGCCTCCCCCAGGGCTCCGTACTTGCACCGCTGCTATTTAGTATGTATATAGCTGATATGCCCCCTACCAGATCTAAAAAATTTGGATATGCAGACGACTGGGCACTTGCAACTCAAAGCTCCTTAATACAAAACTCCGAGGCAATCCTAACGGAAGATCTGGAACACCTGGTTAAGTACTTTAAACAATGGAGACTTAAACCTAACCCCTAAAAAACCGAGGTTAGCTGTTTTCACCTGAACAACAAAATGGCCCACACAAAACTTAAAGTATACATTGATAACCAACTGCTCACGCACAACTATAATCCCAAGTACCTCGGCGTCACCCTGGACAGAACACTCTCCTTTAAGAAACATCTTGAGAACACCGCAGCAAAGCTGAGAACCCGTAACAACATCATACAGAAGCTTTGCGGGACTACATGGGGCTCATCAGCAGGTACACTTCGGTGTTCAGCCCTCGGACTCGTATACTCCGCAGCTGAATACTGCTCTACTGTTTGGCTGAATAGCGCTCACACAAAAATTATAGATACCCAGCTCAATGTCGCCATGCGTCTCATCTGGAACGATCAAGTCTACACCTGTGGAGTGGCTTCCACTACTGAGCCATATACCTCCACCTAATCTTCGTCGTCAGCTGCTTAACAACCCGCAATTACCTATACACACATATGTCGCCGACGCTAATTCACATCGATTGCGCTCCAGAAAACCTCCGACTAGAGATGCAATAACCTTGAGTTCCAACAATTTCAAAATGAACTCCCAGTGGAAAAACATGCAGAGCGACAGACCGAACCTAATAATGAGAAACACACCATGCATCACAGAAACTCCACCAGGTTTTGACCTCCCCCGAAAATCATGGTCAACTCTTAACAGGATAAGAACGGGTCATGGAGTCTGCGCAGATTCCCTTTATAAATGGAGGATGAGAACCTCTGCTGAGTGCGACTGCGGCGCCGAGAAACAGACCATCCAGCATATGATTGCCGAATGCCCTCGGAGGAAGTATTATGGAGATCCTCTAGACTTCGCCTCTGCAACACCAGCGTCGATTGAATATATTAATACATTAGATGTTAGATTGTAACATATATGTGATAATGTTGTGTATCAAATTGCCATACGCTAAATAAACCTATTTGTTCAAAAACTAATGTAGAATACAACATATATGTAGGCCAAATACAACTAATGTAGCCCAAAAGAAGGCAGCACTCATGGTTGAAGAATCTACGTGATTGGTATCAATGCAGATCGATTCTTTATAGCAGCAAGTTAAAAAAATAGCCTTTATGATTGCCAACCTCCGTAAGAGGACGGCACTCTAAGAAGAAGAATGTAGAATAAAGATCAAAAACAGTGTATAATTTACTGTGGTATCATTTAAATGACTACTGTTGCTAGTATTTTGATATAACCCTTTATTCTCCTTAAATAAAAGTTATAAATATATAATTGTTAAACATTTTAGGTAGCACCAAAGTTATAGGTAGAAGAAGAAGGAAATCAGGTTCTTATTCTAGTACTAGCTCTATACCCAATAGACTAAAGGAACTGGAAGATTGGCCAGATCCACCACCTTGCACTACAGAAGATGAAGTTACGTCACCATTTTCAGATTCCGATGACCACATGATGTTACCAGCCGAATTGAACAGTGCCAATATATCTGGAAATAGCACATATATAATAAGAAGGGGTATGTTAATTTTATAGGTATTCCTGATACTTTTCTCTATGATATAAAACGGATTTTATTTTAGGTAATAAAGAACGAAAATCACTCCAGGCTATGGGCAGTTCGCTAACTTCAAATTCGTCGTTAAATTCCCGCTTAAGTTCAGAGCTAAGTATACCAGCTAGTAGATTTAGTGGTGAACTTAGTCATCGCTTGAGTCGTGACCTTCATACTCCGAGCTCTCGATATAGTGTAGATCTCGGCACATCGCATTCAAGATTAAGCAATTCGCCTAAGTCAAGATTAAGTTTAGACTTAAACAACTCAAGACTACTCAGTCAGGAATTAAGTTCTTCTCCATCGAGACATAGCGTAGAGTTATGTAGCAGTAGATCCAGCACGCCAAGCAAGTACGATCTCGAATTGAGGAAACATAGCACTACTTTTGATAACATAAAGTCGTTAGTAAGAGAAGGTGTTGTTCAAGATCTTGTTTCCCCGAAAACTGAGACTGCCAAAGACTTTAGCCCAGTTATATCTCCCATAGTCAGGGTGGTGTCCTTACCTAGTTTAAATGCTGAAGAGTTTACTCCTAAACGTGAATTAGATGTAACTGTAGAAGAAGAGGAAGAAGTAGAAAGTTCCCAACCTAGCGCAGAGATATCGCCTTTGAGAAAAATAGAGCAAAACATTAGCGAGCTACTAGAAAGGAGAGACATAGAAGTAATTCAGAATGATCTGTTTGTGTTAAACGGCGTAGATGGACTAGGTAGAGAGAAAAAAAGAGCTCCGTCTAAACCAACTAGGGATTTCAGACACAGAAATGATTTGCAAAAGTCAAATAGCCACAGTGAGATCCAGAGAACGGAAGAATATTATAGACAGCTTTTGATTGATGGTAAGTGTATTTTTTGATAAAACTAATGAAACTTAATGGTCCAGTTTATCAAGGTTCAGCTCCGATTACCTAAAAGACGCGTCGATTTCCTTGAATTTTTTTTGAAAAACAGTAACTAGGGAATACCTTAACAAACAAAATCTACCATATGCGTCTAAGTGCTTTTTTCTGGGGTTAAATACCACCCCGACCCAGGGGTGAAAATTTTAATATTCAAAATGACTCATGGATAGAGGGACATATCGCACACCTAGTTCAATAGTGCCACAAGTCCAAAATACAATAATTTCGAGAAATGAGCAAAACGTTCTGTAGCAAACGAGTTATGCCTTATAAATAATTTATTTTTAGAATGACTGGCTTCAAAATTATAATTTAGTTAGCAAATTATACAGTTATTCGCTGGATCTTACTACAATTTATTAAAAATAAAACGTAAATTGTATTTTGATAGTTATGGCGATATTGCATTGTGAAGAAAGTCATTTGTAAAACGATAAATAGGAGATAAGGCGGCAACATAATAAAAAAATCAACTAGTTTTTACAAAAAATATTTTTATTATTATTATTACAAGTGTGTATGAACATTTTTTTTAATTACTATTAACGAAGTCCTTATAAAAATTGTGATGAACAGGTAATATTAAGTTTTTATTGCACAGTTCCAAAAGGTGTTGCTTGGTTTTTGCGTATATCGATGGAGGCTTTATGTACGCCTTTTTAAATCGATTACTGCTTCCACAGTTGCTGAACGCCCCCTTGTCGATGCTTTAAAATGGACCTCTTCGAACTCATCGGCATTATAATCTGTTTTATAGAAGAAAGATCCAGGATTGCTTTTGACAACTTTAATAACTTGGATATCATTCCAGACTACCTTTTCATCTTTTGTATTCTTTGTAAAATTTCCTCCAATTTTTGAATTGAGATCTTTAAAGTCATAAAAGTCTTCTGTTGACATTTCTTTTACATTGTAAGGATTTCCCTCTCTTTTTTGCAGATCTTATGATGACAGGCCATTGTGCAGGAACATAAATGGGACCTGTTTTAAATATTTTCTTCTTTTGCCTCTCAATAGTTGCATGCATGGCGTCACCTTCATTTTGGGTATGTCCCACTGTTAAAAATTTATGTGTAATTGATTTAACATTAATTTTTCCAATTGTATAGAGATACATGGTAACTATAAATTTATTTTTATTTTGTCCAACACAATTGTCGCTATAAAATATAACGTCTTTATCATTACAATGATTTGAAAGATAATCAAACAGACACGTAGCTATTTCGTTTGACCCGCGTCTAGCAATAGCCTCGTGCCAAAAGTAACAGTAACCAGTCTTTTGCAATATCTGAAAAATTGTAAAGTTGAAGCAGTTCAGGCGGCATTTATAGAAGAAGCTTGAAACATCTCCACAAGGTGTAGGAAGGATCGCCTGCAAATCAAAACAAGCTACCAATACTTGAGAATCATCTTTTGCTCTTGCTAGATCTTGTGCTTTTTCTTCTCTGCTTCTAATTTTATTATGGATATGTTTATTATAAGTTTGATGAAGAGTAGCTTGCTGTTCAGCAGAAGAATTTTTATATGATTCACAAATTGCGCACTGATCTTTTTTTGGCTGAAAGAAAGTATGTTAAACTCAGTTTTGAAAATATGCTCGTAAGTGCATTTTTTAGCCACAGGCCTTCCTTCACTCTCTTCCTGTAGTTTGTAGTAGCGATACATTTGAGTTAAAGTAAGTGAACCATCTATGTATTTCTTTGTAGTTTGTCCTCAATAGATAATGTGATTCTACCCTTTGGAAAGAATTTATGTGTTCTCTTATTTTATTTTTCACCGGTCCAGTAACCGTTTCTCGTTTCATAAAAATATACCTGCTCTATGTAATCATCTTGGCGAGGGTCTGTATGTAGATTTTCTTAATCTTCAAGTGTATTTGCGGTATGATTTGATTGCACGGGTAACGCAACCGGAGTAAGCTAAAAAATTACATACATTAAGTAAAACCTCACTGTGATTTTTGTTGAAATACAAACCTCCGTCAACACAAAGGACATGTCATTCATAACCTCAGAAACCTCTGAATTGTCTCTCAGATGCTCATCATCTTTAAGATAGCTTTGCAAAGCTACTCCAAGCATTTTTCTTGCCCTTGACATCGTGTTTGATAATAAAATTAATAATAATATCACTATACACTGTTTTCAGATAGAGAACTGATAAAATCGTACCACTAATCTAACAATTTTTGCAGTTGTGGCCGTATTGAATTACATCGGTTGTATTGTGGCGGAGTGTATTATCGCCACATCTCCTAGTTATGGCCATATTGCATTTCAAAACCCTACAGTGTAATACCGAAATATCTTACTTTATACTTATCCAAGACAATATTTCAGTTAAGGTTGTATTGCATTAGATGGGGTATCATATATGCAAGCTTTTTAAAGCCTTAACTCAAAATTGGAATTTTTGGAGTTGTGGCAGTATTGAACTAGATTATTTGAATGCATATTTTTTTATCTATTTGGGATTTAATTTTGTAAAAAACACGTTTTTAATCGGTTTTCACGAATAACTCGGTTTAACATCTTTCAGTTTATCAAAAAAAACTGTTGAAGAAGTAAAAACGAAGTTTATAAAAAAACTAAGAGGTTCGTTTATTTAATTTTTTTTGTGGACTCAATACAAACCGAGATATGTTTAAAAATACAGCATTAGTCCAGGACATCTTTTTCTTCAGCGATGAGTTCGCGTGTGGGCTATTCCTCATCCAGAAATTCGCCAAAACTACAGTCTTTGGATAAACTTTTATCTTAACAGAGTGGATTTCAACTGTGAATAAGTTCTGATACTTGGGACTTCTGGAGCAGTTAAATCTTTTATAGTTTTATAAGCTACTTTTCCCACTAATGTAAGGAACAATGGTACTTTTTTTTGTCTCCTACCTCATTGCACAGAAACAACTGCTCCATTCTTTCCAAATATGTAGTTACATCAACCTCTCTGCATTTGAAATGTTCGTTTTGTCCTATAAAGGCCATGTTACTACAATTGCGTGAGTAGCAGTAATCTCGTCGCCAAATTACTATTGTTTATTTAGGCCAGTAAAACACAGATTTACGCTAAATGACAATTCTTTATTATAGACTTAACATGAGGTATCTTTTTAATATGATGTTTCATGACAAGTGACAAGTCATCAGTAAGACATACTACAATAATAAGTGACATGACATGAATTAGACATACAACATATACAACACTACTCAATCCACCCCGGAGTCACACCAGGCAGTGTTTAGTCCAGGATATGACGGTAGGAATAGTAGAAAACCTCTGATTTTTTTTTATATGCATCGATTTGCCTAAAATTTTAATACTAGTTAAAAAATGGCTCAAAGATTCAAATGTGTCCTACAGAAATATTAGCTTTTTCTCTGAAGTGGTTACCACCTCATCTCAGGGGTGGAATAAGTTTATAAAAAAACTTGATAATCGTTAGAGTAGTGAGTACAGCACAACAAATATTTTAAGGACTAGAAAAATGAAATGGTTCAGCAGCTTGTAGTGAAATACTAGTTACATATCCATTTTTTTTTTGACAAAAATAAACATACATAAATCGAATTTTCTTCACCACTAACAATGTTGGTAACAATATATCCAAATATAATTAATTTTTCCTATTGTAACTTGTACAGCAACAATGTTTGGTGCTTTTGTACCTGTTAAAAAAATCATTGCCGGAAAATGTTCACGATTTAAATGGATGTTTTTTCCATTATTGTTTGCTGTATTGCTAAAAAATGATGCCGTAATTGAATAGATCTATATTATATACTAAATGACATAGAAAAAAAAGAATACCTAATAATACTGAATTTATAACAAAAATTTTTTGTATACATGTCTAACAGGATTTGGTAAGTAACTGCTTAAAATTTCAAAAAAATCCAACTGTTGGAAAAAATGTAAGAAATTAATAATATGTTGGATCTACACGATGTCTTTTGCACTCAAAAATACGTCTGGCCATACTAATAACGAGATGCTCACTTTTCTCTTCAGATATCTCATTACAGGCTACATGTATCTCGGTGGAGGATGAAGTAAACGGAGTAATTTTTTCCCATAATGTCCCAGACGTGTTCAATGGGTGAAAAATCGGAAAATTAAGGGGGCAAGGCAAAAGATTGACTTAATTGTCTTTAAAAGAGGTCAATATTATCCTGTTGCAAAATTTAATTTGAGAGCATCCGTATATAAATCAGAACATGTGGATCCACCACCTCTGATGAATACCAAAGATAGTCTGCTTCCATTGGCAATCGTCCTCAATAAGACAAATAATACAGTTTTTCGTATGACGGAAAAAAATTACACATAAGCTAAACATATGCATTGTGTTTAATTTTTTAAGAGGTGTAACATGTTTAATTAATTAATGCTGTGGAACTGAAAGAGAGGAGTTGACAACTGACAGATGTCTATATTAATAAAACACATGTCTGCGTTTTAGCATTTTCGTAAAATCTTCTGAATATTGTCAGATATCAGAGTGTTTCCATTCTGTATAAGTATTACTAACATATTTTTATATTACACCGTTGACACACAACTTATTTAATTGTATATCATTTTTAGTTATTTTATGATCAAAATATTTTAAACTGAATTTAACTTTTAGGTGGCATTCCGTTTCCTAAGCGAAACGGCATCCAAAAATCTGAAAGCGCTAAAGAAATGCTTATAGCTCATCGAGAACCGCGTCCACTTCCAACTTCAACTTCGGCTGATTTTCCTGTGCGAGTGGAGGTTTTGCAGCATGAATTTCCTCCATTACCTCCATCGCCTGTGGAAGAAGACGAAGATGAATACACGGAAATTTTACATCCTGTACATAAAAGCAGAGCCGACACGCTGCCCAATAGTAACGAGCCGCCCGCAGTGCCTGCCCATCGTGAACCGGGCTCCAATAGTCTTAAGACTAGATCTATGGATGTTAATTATAGTCGAGGTAAAATATTTTTGTTTATAGTACCTATAACACTTTATATTGCTGGTCTTTTTCATATTACTTAGACATGTTTTTGTACGTTTGAAGTTCTTTAACTGATACACACCAATTAAAGCAAAACGTAAAATAAAACGGTGAGCATCTCTTAATAAACTGACACTAGACAGTTAAGTATGTCTCATATGGTTACTTGGACATAAAAGAGTTCAAGATAATGGACTAGCAAACTTTATGACATAATGAACGATCTAGAAGAATTTTTGAAGGCCCAGAATCAATCTGGGCGTTCAATTAAAATTAAAATTTAAAACTGGCTGTAAAAGAGTCATAAAGGGGCATTCAGGAGTAGACTTAAATAAAGGAAAACATCAGCAACATTTACAGAAAGCCTTTGTTCAGTGTAATAAATATTAGAAGTCTAGATCTGAATACGTTCACAGACATAGTGCTCGGTCATTTTCAACTAAGAAAACATCCCTATAACATATGTAAATCATGGTGTAGGAAATGCGAATTGGAAAAAGAAAGAGTCGTATATTTCCTGTGTGAATCTGAAAGGGTTAGTGGTATAATAGAAGAAGGTATGCACTGACAAAGCATGGTGCTGGACTACGAAAATCCTAACTATACAACAAAATGAAAAACGTTGTTTCGTGTTGTCATTTAACATGAGATGTTATATTTGAGAATTTAATGGTTTATCAGGCATACTCTAAAAATAAAAATCTTTCAAAAATATGTCATGTCACTTCGTTGACTGGCCGTATTGAAATAACTAAATGTCAATCATTCGCCATTGACCAGGAAATAAATTCTATATTTTATCATCATAAATCGAACACGAATGTAAGGGTTAGTAGATATAACAACTGTATGTTATAAACACACTACAAACGCTGTCAAATAAAACTTACAATTGCCAGCAGATGAATCAATCACCGACCATTATCCTATGGCTGTCTTTGTTGTGTTTATAATGCCATACTGATGCAAAGAACTAGCGAATGTTCGGTATCTGCCTTTTATCTCTAAAGTCTGTTCTTGGTGGACATTAAGACGTTTTACACCATAGTTTTAGCGCATTGCTTGTGAAAGAACCCAAACCATTGACCGTGACCGTAACATTGACGGAGCGTGACCACTTTGCTAATTAGAAATAAGAATTCTGTGTTTCCCTCTCCGAGTATGTTTTCGGCTCCACCATTGTCCGATTAGGTGCAACTAGACTAAAACATGTCGTAGTGAAAATGGACACAGGCTTTTAGAGAGAAAAAGCAGGCATTCATGCATTCTGTTTTAAAATACTCCGCCTTCTATAAAACGAATGAACAATTTGTTTCTTGAGGATACTAATAATTCTATTTTTAGGTCGAAGGACCAATTTCTTCACTTCATCGAATAGAAACATTCCCTCAGAGCGTAGAACACTTCCGACGGAATTACAGGAAAAACGAAGACCGTTCCAAAAGCGGGCCTCGCAACAAAGTCCACAGGAGGAACATCATCTACAAACGTCGTGCAGTTTACCAGAAACGCCAATTTTTGCTAGAGGTTGTGATATACCGCGAACTCCTCACCGAAGAGCTCCAGACGTACCTGGTGGTAACCAAACTGCACCTAGGCAAAGCAATACAATAGGTAGGTTCAAGTGTCATTATGGATTATGGATTGTCTTGACCTGGAACAATATGATCAACATTTATCATAGATACAGATAACATTGCTGTCATTTATTACGTCTTAGTACCACTCTTATACACTATTTTCTCATATTATGGCATTCATTGTTCAATATGGTTAGCTATTATAGAATAAAAAACTATATAGTCCAATCATAAGTATTATACAGTTGGTTGTAATTAATTTTACTGTAAATAGCTGTAAAAATGTCTGTAAAAGGTTGTTAATAATTAGAATTTTAGTATCTTTTGTCTGAAATAGTTGTAGGTAATTCAGGAAATATTTTAGAATAGTCTAATATATGTATAACTGTTCAATTTTTCAATTTGTTGACATTTACCAATACGTGAATATTGTGTATTGGGTATTTACTTCCAATCATGTATTTGGTCCTTTTTTCTTGCTATTCAGCGCATTTAGTTGACTTACTTATTTTATGCTAATCAATAATATTTCTGGCCCTTTCATACCATCTGCAAACCATAGATGTATGTATTAAAGTAGACTGAGCAGTCTGTAGAGCTAAGTGACGAGTGACGACAATCTTTTTTTTTTTTTTTTTCGTTGTTTGTTGTGTGTATCTGTCACTATCAATATGCTGCAAACACCACTGTGTCATCTGCTTATCTGATGTTGTTGAATCATTTTTCGTTCATTTAGAGTATATATTAAACAAAACCTTCTACACCTCATAATACAGGATAAGATCGCCGGAAGAAGAGGCCCAGGCCAAAGAAGAACTTCCTGGCTCCGAAATCTCCGAGAATGGTATCAAGAAACCACCGCTAATTTATTTAGAGCCGCCGTAAATAAAGTTATTATTCCCAATATGATCGCCAACGTTTCATAAGCGAACAGGCTACTGAAAGAAGAACTGTTGTTGGCTGAATAGCATTTAAATGATGAGAGCTGGATATTGCAAAAGTGTTTCATTGACAAAAGCTCTTTAAATCACATACGAATCAAACATAACCTGAAAATGGTTATATTGGAACTTACAACAGTTGTCATCTCAAGGTGCGATTTGCATTTTGTAAAAAATAAATTCAGATTGAGTATATGAAATTTTAGACTAGGCGGGATCTGTAGAAATTCAGACCATACTGGACATTTTCCATAGGAAGCTATTTTTTTTGCTGGAATCCCTTCAGGATGTGCCCAATATCGATAATCACGATATGCGCCCGTCGCAAACCCTGTGCTAAATTTTTTATTTAACAAAATCTGAAAACAATTAAAAATTTCTCATTTTTTTGCTCATATTTTCGTTTATAATTCGGAAAATATCGATCCTAGAGAAAAAATTATACGAAGTTAAAAGTTTCGTTATTCAATTTTACACAATATTTCGTTAGCTAGAAATTAAACATTTAATGTTTATTGTTAAAAAAATAGCAGTAATTAGAAAAAAAAGTACAAAAAAATGAAGTTAATCCTTTAAATGTTTTCGACTTTCTAAACTTGACTTACAAGCTCCATATTCCGCCTAGAAAAACTTTTTAATATGTTTAAAACGTGTGCTAAATTTTGTTAAGATCGGTCGGATAGGTTTTGCATAATAATTTTGCAATCCAGCCTACTGGAAAAAATCGCAAATTTTCAAATTTATAGTAGGCCCTAAATAGAGCCATCAGATAGTTGCAAATTTTTTACATATAAAGGAAGGTTTAAACTTTCAAACGCTTTTTGTAAAATTCAAATCGGTTCGCTAGGAGAACCTAGAAATTTTTTTAAAGTTTTCAACATTTTTTAGGCTTATAAACAAATTGAATAACTTTACGAGCTTTAAACATATCAATTTCAAAATTTATGCACTTAAAGAACATTAAAAGACGCTTCTTTAAAAAAAATAGATACATTCGGCTTAATGGTTGTCGAGATATTGAAGGTCAAAGTTGGCATACATTTGCCGTGTAACCATAAGTGATAGAGGGCTCGTTTTTAAACAAATATCCTCGTCTTGTCAAGTACTTTTTCTATGAAAAGTTTTACGTAATGCGCTTCATGGCAACATCCATAAAAAAGACAAATAAAAAACCGTTTTCGCGTAAAATGTCGCTCGGAATGCATGAGAGGTGGTGCTGGGGACATTCACTCGAAATTTGAATCGGCGAGATCAAAATCATAGCGCGCGCTGGAAATTGCATTATCTCGGCTTCTTGTTAACCAATTTTGCTCTTTTTTTTTAATCGATGTCTCGGACGACAAAATATCATATTTTCAAATACCATTTTTAATTTTAATTGCATTTTTCTCTTCATGCATTTTTTTTGAGCTTGCAATTTATACATTGAAGTGAATTGTTACTGTTAGTAAAGAAATATGTATTTATAAATTGTTAATAAATAATTTAAATTGTTAAAACAATGGCGAACGAAAAAAAATTTTTTTTCATAAACAAACTTTATTTTGACTCAATCTTCAATAATTATTTAAAAGTCTTTTTCTTTTTTTTTGGAAGGACAAGAATCTTCAGGTCTTATTTCTTTCTCAAAACCTTCATTTTGCATTTCAATATCTTCATCCTCGATCTGTAAATTTAATGTTTCTTCTCCTTCATCTGTAGCTTTATCTTGTGCCTCTAGAAAATCTAAGGTTTCACACCACCTCTCATGCATTCCGAGCGACATTTTACGCGAAAACGGTTTTTTTATTTGTCTTTTTTATGGATGTTGCCATAAAGCGCATTACGTAGAACTTTTTATATAAAAAGTAATTGACAAGACGAGGGTATTTGTTTAAAACGAGCCCTCTATCACTTATGGTTACACGGCAAATGTATGCCAAATTTGACCTTCAATATCTCGACAACGATAAGCCGAATGTATCTTTTTTTTTAAGAAGCGTCTTTTAATGTTCTTTAAGTGCATAAATTTTGAAATTGATATGTTTAAAGGTCGTAAAGTCATTCAATTTGTTTACAAGCCTAAAAAATGTTAAAAACTTTAAAAAAATTTCTAGGCTCTCCTAGTGAACCGATTTGAATTTTACAAAAACCGTTTGAAAGTCTGAGCCTTCCTTTATACGTAAAAAAATTTGCAACTATCTGAGGGCCTTATTTAGGGCCTACTATAAATTTTGAAAATTTGCAATTTTTTTCCAGTAGGCTGGATTGCAAATTTATTATGCAAAACATATCCGACCGATCTTAACAAAATTTAGCACACGTTTTAAACATATTAAAAAGTTTTTCTAGGCGGAATATGGAGCTTGTAAGTCAAGTTTAGAAAGTCGAAAACATTTAAAGGATTAACTTCATTTTTTTGTACTTGTTTTCCAATCTTATATACTAAAACGCTAAGCCCTTTTCTTGTCCACCACTTTACTCAAAAACCATATTAGATAATTAAAATATTTTTTCGGAATATTATTAGTATTACGTATGAGATTGTCAAGATATACTTTTGGTACAAAAATTCACTTCCGCTTTTGAGATGACCGGAAGTTAAAGTTTACTTTAAGTTTTAGACCCCATAATGTATATATGGATCGAAAGGTCTCGTCGAGACGAATCTAAATATGTACTTTCGGTTGCGATCCGACACGTGCATAAAACGTCAAGATAGAGCAAATCTGACACCGGATTCGTGATCAAAATGCAAAATTAACTGCTAAATGATATCCATTTCGACATTAAACAAACTAAAATTGCATTCGGTTTTGAGGTCGACTTCCGGTTTCGTTTTTATTAAAAAGTAAAAGTTTACATAACTCCCGGTGCCAAGCAAAACTTCTCAGAAAATGGAGACATTGTAACAAAAAACATTGTTTTCGACGAAATATTTCGTGATATTTAATACACTTTTTACTTGCATTATTATTGATGAATGTTATGTATATTCTGGCTTATATTGTTTGTATTGATCTCTTAATTTTTCTCGCAAAATAAAAATTTCATTTAAAAAACTCGATGTCGAGTTGATCCGCTAGTTATTGCTATTTTTTTCAACAATAAACATCAAATTTTCAATTTCTAGCTAACGAAATGTTGTGTAAAATTGAATAACGAAACTTTTAACTTGTTATAATTTTTTCTCTAGGATCAATATTTTCCGAATTATAAACGAAAATAGGAGCAAAAAAATGAAAAATTTTCAATTGTTTTCAGATTTTGTTAAATAAAAAATTTAGCACAGGGTTTGCGACTGGCGCATACTGATCCCGCCTAGACTATTTGTTAAATGTTACCTTTAGGTTCATTCATTCTAATGTTTCATTTACGTATAGCGTATTTAGTGTTTTTTCTATGTAATTGAAGTAATGCAATCAAAATAAAACCATTTCCCTTTACTAAACTACTCTATGTGTATGTGTAGACTTTATTTTATATGTTACTAAATTATCCCATTGAAATGTATTATTTTGTATATTTAAATTACACCTTAAAAATTACATTTATAAAAGTGGTGCTAATCGTTACTCATTTTAAATCATATCAACATTCTCAAACATTTTCTTTGTGTATGGTCTTTTCAATTATTTCTTACTAACACACGTTGCTTTAACTAACACTTCCATTTTGTTCATCCATCCAGGTAGCCTAAATACAATCGGAACCACAGTCTCCAGCGGCGGATACCGTCGTGGCCTGTCACAAACAGGTCTCGAACAAGCAATCGTTGGAGCGGAGCTCCTCCGTCTTGCTGGCGGACCTGGACGTGGTTGGTATCCAAAACAAAGGCATCGACGCCCCGCCTCGATCGAACATCTCGACAGGACCGCGATGGGTCACAATCCTTGGGATTCGACGTCGAATAGAAAACCGCAGACTTTACCGCCCAACTTAACTCCTAAGTTCTTCCAGAGATCACCTCGAGATGCTCTCAGAAGGGTTACCAGTTTGTTGATTAAGAAAGGTTAGTTTTGTGGTTGTGACAGCACTTACACAGAATAGAGCACTGTCTAACACATACACTTACATTTTAACACGGTTTTTAATTCTAATGCTAGTAAAGCTTTAAATGGAAATATGAAGAATTAAAATACACTAAGAACAAGAACAATTGGGTCTAGAATTGATTTTTGTATTATCTATTTGCAGATTTTTTTATAAATATTAAATATTGTTACGTTTAAGGTTTACGTCGTCTTATTAATTACATATAAAACATTTACATTCCTTAATTTATTATTCGAAATTTAAAATAATTGAATATTTTTGATATATTATTGAATTCTAACGGTAGTTTTAAATGATTAAATTAGTCTGTTATATCAAGTTAGGTCTTCTACTTAACAGTTCTTATTCTATAGTATATTTGAAAAATAAGCTGTAGTAAACACTAATTTTCGAACCTAGAAATACATAGGCGTGCAAATCTTCTAACTAAAACGTAATCTAAAAAGAAAGTTTGCGTTAAATTTATTTGGATATTTAGAACAAAGAAATTAATCCAATCCAATAACAATCCAATTAAAAGAATAAAAATTCTATTAATTGTGAATCATACAGTTAATATAAAATCATCGAGCTAAAAGACAAAAGAGGGAATGTAATCCTTATGAAAAGGAGACCAAAAAAGTGGCCTCTGATGGCGGACATATCCGGAAATGCGAATGCGCCAAATTTAAATTTTCCGACACTCATTAACAGTAGCTATATAATATTTTTCAGAATGTGTCTTAGACAAGAAAGTTTTAATTAATTATTAACGATAATATTCTAAAATCTGACACAATTGTTAAAAAACTTCAATATAAATAAGATTTCATGTGACATTTGGGACAAACGATAACATAACCCAACTAAATTTGATGTCAAACAAGGAGAAAGAGACACTCTTTCCTTGTTTAATGTGGCCTCTAAAGATCGCACTTCCTGTCTAACAATATTTTTGCCCCCACTACCTTTACATTCCCTCTTTTGTCTTTTTGCTCGATGTATAAAATACAATAAATTAAACCGAAACGTAAAACACATACACAAAACCTGTAAGTTTTTATACATTAATTTCCAATAATATTGGAAATAAGAATGACTATTTCACTCATCTTAAAATTTTCACATAATCTGACCAATCACAAACCAAAGACAGCTTGTGTTATCGCGAAAACACCAACTGGCATTACCCTTACCAGTGCAATTTTATTAATAGCTTTATTGACCAGACTGGGTGACAGCAGACCATTCCCTCTCCTACTGTCACCCACAATGTAGCTTCTTAAATTTTGAAAACAAATTTAAACTGTTTTTCCTTTGTCTAATGTTGTGTAAATGTATTATTTTATGTTTATAACATTCATAGAAGTGCTGGATAGCCTACAATTTTAACGAAATACATCTAAAAATGCTCTGAGAGTGAAAGTACTTCGAGCGAAAGGGCAAGATTTAATAAAAGTCAGTGCTCTATATCTGCCTTTTATTTGATTAAAGTTCATTTTTATTCGAGCATTAAACCATATGTTACTTTATTATTTATATGTGTATAGTTTGGTGTTTTGTTTTCCATCTGTTATCATTATGTAGTTGTCTAATTTTTTTGTGCTTTTCTGCCTTTCAACTTTTTCTCGATTTCAGTTATACCAGCTATATCTATTGTCATGATATATTCTATTTGCCAAAAAGTGTTTGCCAAAACCGTAAACTTAATATAATATATTTACAGCTAACGAATAACCAGGTAAAATGTGTGAACAATGTCTGATAAATCCGTAAAAATAAAACACTTTGAACTACAAACAACACATGAAGCAACTGGTGAAACTCAACCAAGTACCTTTGTTATGAATATCAGAGCATATTGATATTAGACTCCGATATAGCTGAAAGGCTGAGTTTTGTATTACTTTAATTGTTTTTTAACATTGTACTCATTACATTAAATATTAAAACTGTTTTAGTGGCAACTCTCAAAAATATTACTAAAAAAACTGTACATTTTTGAACTCATTGCAGTATATTCTTTTGTTTCAGGAAATAATGGCAAGGATACGAAAAAGGATAAGGAAGTAGTGTCACCGACTATCCATGAGAATGCAAATGGTAAGCATCATTGTTCTCTTTGTTGACACATACCAGTAGCGGATGTACGGGGGGAATGGGGAAACCCCCACAAGGTTCAAAATTAAAGAAAACATATTATTTATATCTTTTTATAGCTTGTGGTTATCAATGTTTCATCTTTTGGTTAGTATTTTGTTGAAAGTTTCCTCAAGGCAAATATCTAGATCCGCCACTGACACATACAGACTTACTTATAAGCCCAAGAAAAGAACCTAGATTTTGCAATGCTGCTTAATATAGTCACTCTCACTAATTGACGTCTTTACTTTCATTTATAAATACAGAAATGATACCTATCTGAAATCATAACACCATTAGAGCAGGCTCACATAACAAGCGCTTAACGCGCGTGGAACGCGCGAGTGTTCACTTGTCATGCGTTGAATGTTCATTGACATGGCTGCCCTGGTTCATTTTGAGAAGTTGTCAAAGATGGACGTATAAAAAGTATCGATGATTTTATACCCACAGCAGACGCGACGCGAAAGAAGACGACGATATTGAGTACAGAAAAATTTTTACGTGCAGGCTGACTGAAAGCCAGTACATAATTTTGTTTCCTAAGCTAGGGGAATTCTATATGTACTAACATAATGACTTCTTCTTTTCTTCATTATCACCTCATTCATAGAATATAAGTATAAGTTTTCCCATATCATACGACTTTTTCAGTTTTGTCCATAAATAATTCGGTATTAAAAGCTTCCGCTTTCATTTCGGATAAGGCAGCGTTTAACACACGTTAGCATATGTCTTCTTCTTCTAAATGTGCCATCTCCTTTATGAAGGTTGGCAACCATCATGGCAATTCGCACTTTCGATACCGCTGCTCTGACTTTATTTGAAATATATTTAAAACCTCTTTATCTTTTCCCATTCTTCTCAACACCTCGACATTCGTGACTTTATCCACCCAACTTATTCTTAATATCCTTCTGTAGGCCCATAACTCGAAGGCTTCTAATTTGTCCGAAACATCTTTCTTTAATGTCCAAGCTTCCAACGCGTAGCTTCTCAGAAGTCTTATCTTTAAAGAAATAGAAATGTCGCTGCTGTAGAGTACTTTTTTCAGTTTGTTGAAAGAATTTCTTGCCTGTACTATTCTTGCCTTAATCTCTTCTGTGTACCTACTCATTATTTTCGTTAATTATTGTACCCAGATATTTATATTTTTCAACTTTTTTAATTTGTTCTCCATGTATTGCTATGCTTTCTTGGCGCTGTTGGTCTTTTGTAATTACCATATATTGTGTCTTTTTTGTGTTTAGGGACAGTCCGTTTCTTCACTAACTTATACCACTCTGTCAACTATTTGTTGTAAATCCTTATTCTTCTTCTTCTTCTTTTGGCATCATAACCCTGGATGGGTATTTGCCTGTCTGGCAATGTCCTTCCATTCAGATCTCTCTTGTGCCCTTCTTCTCCATTGTCTTATGTTCATTGTTTTCAGGTCGTCTTCCACGTCATCCAACCATCTCGTTCTGGGCCTTCCTTTTTTTAGCCTTCCTATGGGCTTCCGTTGTAACATTTATTTTCTTTGTTGTTTTTGCATCGTTTTGTCTCTGCACATGTCCCAGCCATGACAGTCTTTGACTTTTCACAAATCTTACAATGTCATAACCTTCATTTAACTCATTAACCTCGTCGTTTCTCCTGATTCTCCATGTGCCATCTTCCTCTTGTACCGGGCCATATACTTTCCTCAGTATTTTTCTCTCGAATGTCCTGAGTTGGGCTTCATCTTTTTTTGTCATTGCCCAAGTTTCACATCCATAGGTTACTACGGGTCTAATCATTCCTTAAGACATTCCGCTTATAAAATAGTGTCGTCGGCAAACCGTATATTATTGATTGGTCAGCCATTTACTTTTATTCCCATGGTTTCTAGTGCTTACTGGATTATTTCCTCTGAATACAAATTTAACAAAGTAGGAGACAGGACACATCCCTGCCTGACGTCCATTTCAATCTGTATTTCATTTGAAAAGACGTTGTTCTCTTTTACCTCAGCGATCTGATTATAATAGAGTTAGCATATGTACGGCCTAAATAAAATGTATATAGTTGTAAACGCGCGTTATCAAAATGCACATTAAGCGCTTGTATATGAACTTTCACTTACCATGATACATATTTATTATTACATTAACATGATTACACATAATATTATAAATAGGTATTTCTTTAATACAAGTAACTTTGTCTTATCTTCTTATGAAATTTTTCATACGCCATTGGAAGACCTACCAATGAATCGCTGAAACGTCACTATTACTTCTAAAAATTTACTGCCTACTATTGCTCCACAATATTTCAGTAACTCGTTTGGTATCCCCTCTTTACCTGCTGCTTTTCTGTTCTTCAGGTTTTCAAGTATTTTTCTAACTTCCTGTACATTTATATTAAGTTCTTCACTTGTGGTAATCGCTGGGGTTTCCGGTTCTAGTGTCGTTTGTTCTTCCTTTCCATATAACTTTTTTAGACAGTCAAACCACGTATCCTTTCCTCCGGTCTTTTACTTCTTATGAAGCGCCATATTTCCTTTTGCAGACCGTAAAAATCATGTTCCATTTCAAGATACGAAAAAATATATAAACAATCTGATGGCACGTGTGCTCATCAATGCGATCAGTATAATCTAAACAACATTAGCATTTCAATTGACGTTGTTAATAAATATTATTCTTTTTTAGGCGAAGAAGTTCAAAAGAAGAAAGGATTCTTCAAGAATTTCTGGAAACGGTCACGGCACTACTCTTTAGAGCAACAATAGTGAATCCCCCATATATAGGATATTTTTTTGTGTACATTTTATATACCTAACAATAACTCAACAAGTCTAACCGCTAGTATTACCTTAGGTACTACTAAACATTCATAAATCCGACATCCCGAAAATCCTTACATTACTGTGTATTTCAGAAATTATCATAAAAGACACGTTGTTGCAAATCACCTGATTAAGTATTTGTTTTGTAAACCCTGATCTTGAGGGCACATGCTTTACTGGGATAGTTATCAAAAAGTAAATATTTATAAATTTCACGCTAACATTGGCTGCTGGTCTCTCTCCTTTTTTACGGTATATATTTTCTGTTCCTCTTTGCCGACGTGGATCAGCGAAGAGTGCCATTCCACGAGCTGTTTGATGCTGCCTTTAGTTCTAAAACTTTTTTTCTGTTTAATGTTTTTGTATTTGCGTTTGTATATGTATTTTTGGAGTATTAAATTATGTTTTTGAGTTATTTTTGGTATTCAGGGTAGACTAAATTGATTAGTGCTGAGATTGCACTAAATAGCCTTCAAGTAGAAATAATCAAAATTATTTTTAAATGTATTTTTTTCCTTAAAAACAAATATATGCGCTAGTGTAAAGAACGCTTTATAACATGACATAATTTACAATCAACATGACTATCTACCATTTTGTTTTTTTTTAATTTCATTTGACTACCTATTACCTTTAACCATTTATCATATATAATAAAAAATTACTTATTTCCAATAAACCCCATATTAAAATGAATCCAAAGCATTTTGTCAATAGATTTCTTTGGCCTAATGGATGAGACATATAAAAAATGAACCAATATTTTTCTCTGAACTTCCAAAATATTAAACGGTGGTTTTTTAAGTTTATAATAGTTGACAAAATACGGTTCTCATTTATTATCTTGTATGCTCATTTCTCTACATCACCTTTTCTATCAATGCAGATTGAGTTTGCATATCATCTTAAATTCAATTATAATTCTGGGTTTCTCTAAATTCGAACTCATAACAGTCTAGCTATTGGGACTGACTTCTGACTTTATATATAACAAAAGTTTGACACTGAAATTGTAGCCGAAAAGAAAAGTGTATGTAATTTCTGAAACACAGAATGTAAGGGATGTCATTCACTTGCCGAAGTTACTTTTTTAATTTTTTTACTTCGGTGCGTATTTGAGAGGTAGATGTAGATATTACATACTAATTTATTACATGTAACAAGTTTAGCAAACACTCCTTATATTCGTAAACGATGGCTGATAAACTTCAGAACAAAATTATTTAACAGAATTTTGTTTACTTTTATGTTTTGATAGTAGCAACTCTATAAATGTTGGAGTTACTAACTAAACTTTGTCAAACAATATATTTAGTTATTTTTTGCAGATCAAAACAATATTATTGCTAAAATAGCGTGGTTATTAATGTTATTAAATCGTAATTCAAATTTAAATAAATATCTATTTCTAGATGGAGTCAAAACTCCGGTGAGATAATTAGGGTAATATTAGTCACCCTAATTCGTATAAGTTTAACGAACTTATTGTGTATCCCTAACATAGATAGTTGCCTTAACATCTTTTGTCGATCTACTCCATCAAACGCCTGTTTGAAATCGATATACAAGTTGTAAATAAGTATGTTATATGCAACACACTTTTCATATATACCTTTTAACATATATATATATATATATATCATATATATATATATATTATATATATATATATTTGGTCTATAGTTGACCTCTTTGGTCTGAAGCCACATTGGCATTCAGCAATCATCTCCTCCGAAAACGATTCCACGGGGCTGTATATAATTCCTGATAATATCTTGTAGACGACATTTAAAACTGTTATAATGGTGCCCATAATGGTAAACCAAAGATGGTTACTCAACTAGTTGTTCTGCTGTGTGGTGAATTATTTCTTCATCTTCGTTTTGTTCTTTTTCTGGGTTTAACAGCTCTTGAAAATGCTTCTTCCACCTTCTCATTATTTTCTCTTTCTCGCTGATAATTGCCATATTTTTGTCCTTTCAGGTAATATATTTCATTTAAAATGTTTAAGAGATTGTAAACTATTATTCAAATATAATATTTATTATAATTATATTGGGCTTCTGAGTACCGTTTGTACTTGTCTTGTGCATCTGACAATCATACGCAATTACAGTAACTGGTCTGTTCTCGCTCTTTCTTTATCAGCCTTTTACGCTCTTTCTCTCTCAAGACACTTAACGTTAGAGTGACGCATGACAAATCAAATCGAGGTTTGATTAACTTTAGCAAGGAACAATAATATCAAAATCTTACTATATTTAGTATGGATCCCCGGACACCCTGTTATTACCAGAAACTACAAGACTGACCAACTTGCTAATATAGGTCGTTCCCTGAGTATCCTCATGAATATCAAATTAAAGTTTTCAAATTTTACATCCTACTTAAAAAGAAAGGTTTGGTCTAACTGGGCAGCTGAATGGTACGAAGGATATGACACAAGTAATTCATTCTATTTCAAAATTAATAAGCGAATTCACACTCTACCATGGTTCAATAAATTCTCATCACTTGTCTCATCACACAATGTCATGCGAATATTAAATCAAAACTCACATTTCGACTTTATGCCGAATTAACTATAACTAAATTAAAGTCAGCCAATATGGCTATATGACGTAGAAATTTGGGAAGCGCAAGCAAAACGTAGCCAGTCAAATAGAATTTCTACTGCTTTGATTAACTGTTTGTTCAGTTTCGCTCTTTGCTTACACTAGACTATGATTGATGCTTTTTTACTTCGCATTTGTGGTAACTGTCCCTTTCAGTGTCTTTACTAAATTCTTATAGGGATATTTGATTATTGATCTTCTGTCTGCTACAAGGGAGTGGCTACTACTAGATATTTTTACTTCCATTCAAACATTTCGCAACTCTATTGACTCAATTCGCTTGGTCTGTACCTCTATCTCGAATAAGAAATAGCTGACTGTGTTATGTATATTTAAACATTTTATATATTTTATCTACGGATTAAATCTGTATAAATAAATTGTATCATTATATAGAACATGTTTAATAATTTTGTTCTGAAATATATCTATACTAATTTTGCTTTATTAAAAATGTATAATTGTATATTAGTTTATTTATATTGAACATATTTTTTGTCTGTGTGTTTTATGGTTTAATAAACTTAATTTAACAAAATTTGAGTTTTTTTTATAGTCAGTAAATAATACAAAAAAGGCAGAGTTGTGCAAACTATAACAAAAATCTATACCAAAACCATATTCTACAGCTAAAATTATTTTCACGAAACAACTACGAAAAGAAATAGAGAGACTTAAGTCAGTTTAAACTAGACTTTGAGGCGTTTTTTAACAAAATAAGATATCTACAGTATACAGTAGCGATAAATAAGGCTACTAAGAAGAAGATAAAGGAAAAAAGGTAAGAGTATGGAGTATTAGTGTATTAGTACCTAGTGTGGAACTGTGGATATTAGGAATGTGGAGTTGGTATAATTGCTGATAGTGAAATGAAAGATGACGTAGAGAAGTTGTAAGAACGAGTGATAGAATACTGTCAGTAAAATTTGTACTTAATAAAGAAGTGTTAAATATTATGTGTGTATGATCTTCAAACAGGGCTGGGTGACAATGTAAATGAAACAAAATGAAAAGATCAGCATTTTTATGATCAATGAGGAGATATACTAGGAGTAATATTTCATCAGAGTTGATAGTTATAATAGAAGGAAAACAACAGCATTAGATAAGGCGACTGGTAAAACATTCTTTCAAAAGATGAAAACTTAATTTATTAGTCCTAAAAATGGGACATAAATACTCCCAAATAGATTATTTTATGGCAAAAAAAGAAGATATGCAAGAAAGTAATAAAGACTGTAAGGTAATATTTAGTCATAGTCATCAACATAAATTACTTGTGCTGAACATCGAAATAAAAACAAGGCTAAACCAAAATATCGGTGACTCTCACAATAAAATCAAGTGGTGGATATTAAAAGACGGGAAAGTACGTCTATTCATGGCAAGAATTATAGGAAAAATGTGTTGGGGCTTGAAAAAAAATCCTAATACAATTGGGAGGAAGACTGTCAGTATCATTAGAGGTAACTAGCGGACCAACTCGACATCGAGTTTTTTAAATGAAATTTTTATTTTGCGAGCAAAATTAAGAGATCAATACAAACAATATAAGCAAGAATATACATAACCTTCATCAATAATAATGCAAGTAAAAAGTGTATTAAATATCACGAAATATTTCGTCGAAAACAATGTTTTTTGTTTCAATGTCTCTATTTTCTGAAAACTTTTGCTTGGCATCGGGAGTTATGTAAACTTTTACTTTTTAATAAAAACGAAACCGGAAGTCGACCTCAAAACCGGAGTGCAATTTTTAGTTCATCAAATGTCGACATGGATATCATTTAGCAGTTTAGTAATGACCATTGCAGCTACTAATGTTATGGCGAGCACGCCACTGTGTGTGTGTTTTATATCAATATTCCAGATTCCTTCGGAGATGATAAAGACCCACGCCGAGAATCTCTAAGTGTTTACGTTATTATCAAGAACTATGAAAGGTTTTTTAGATATATTTTGTAGTCCTTAAGTTAGTATAGTTCTGTAACCTAAACTGTAAACATCTGAATAAATTTGTGCATTTCCTTCAGAGTTTTTCGTTACTTAATTCTCCATCGAACACATATCATTTTATAAAGAATAAAAGTGGCGCAGTCAGTAGGATTTCCAATTAGAAAAAGTAAAGCCTTTTTTTAATCGATTTTAATCGATTGAGTCTTTATCTGTAGACCTGTTCTTTTTTGATAAACAAAAAATGCTCACCGTTATAACAAAATTTGCACAAGCGTATATTTTAACTGATAAAAACCCAGAAACGATAATTAGTCAATTAAAAAATTATTTTTCGCTTTTCGGCCTTCCTAAGATGATTATGTCAGATCACGG